TTTCAGGCACAAATCAAATACTGGCTATGCTCTTTCAAGGCAAACTTGTTGCTATATTGTCAGCAATTAGCACTGCACCTAGATCTTGTATTATTCATATTTTTACAGACTCACAATCTGTTATTTCCAAATATAATAGCCTTCAAAATTCACCACACTCTCTCTTCTACAAATATTTTATATTTTATATTATAGTACACCTTTATTAACTTTACTCGATCATATAACCACCAAATTATTTTTCACAAAGTTACTGCTCATCAAGAGGATCGATTCAATAATCTTGCTGACCAATTAGCTCATTGCTACCTTACCTCAGACTTTCTTATTCTTAAACTTTATAATATCTATAATCCAAACTATTCTCTTCAACTATATCAATATCCTCTAGAGTTACTAACTTGATATACTATTCATACTATATGTTATTCATATATCTATGCTCTGTGGTTATCTCAGTACAGATTTCAACAGTGGTCTCATATTGCTGCTCATATCAACTGGTCTGCTACTTGGTATTATATTAACAACAACCAAAAAATTTTAAATTTTTCACATAGCTTCCAATCTTCTACTCTTAAATCATTTCGAATTAAAATTCTTCTTGATGAGTTGCTTACTTCTCATATTCTGTATAAACACAATCATCATGTTTCACCCAACTGTTATCAATGCAATCAAATTAGTATACTACTATATTGGGTTACCTGTCCATTAGCTGCACTATTGCACAATCTTATCGATAACTCTTTATAACAGGTTATCAACTCAACATCGTTGAATGTCTCACCTGAATTAATTACTACAATTCATAATCAAATCAAACATCTTGATAGTATGATATTTCATTACAACCAACATACTCCATCTATTAACTCTACTTTGTCTGGGCTAGTTCTTTTTGATATCATAAACCTACTCAAGGACATTACTTCATCTGCTACATTGGCGTCAACTATTACTATCAAATTTCTCTTACACCTTAACTCACAAATTTATTATAATATTTGGATACCTTATTGTATCTCTTGTTCTTCTATTTAACCTTCTAATAATACTATATCTTCTTTACTAGTCTTATCTCTTTTTATCTATCAGTCTTCTCAACCCCTACCATTTACTATAGCTAGTGCTAAAATTGGACTATGGTATTCTTTATAGATCAAATATCAAACAAATTTAAACTATATAATTATTAATTCACAAATCTAGGTAAGCTATGGCTACCCTAGTTAGTTTAGGCCGCAGATAAATTAGTCTGAGTTTCTTTTTTTGCTATCTTTGGATATAAAATTTAAATAGATTCTTTTTTTTATAAGAATTTTCTTTTCATTATAGAAGAATTAAATTAAATTTTAATAAAATCAGAGATATGGTCTCACTATTAATATTTAAAAAAAAAATAACTTCTCTAGTTGGGGTAACCTGAAGGTAATATTAATATCTCTAATCAGTTAGAAATAACCTGTAGAGTACTTGCTTGGAAGAGTGATATAACAGTAACAGAATTAGAGTAGTGAAAGAAGTACAGTCAAACCTCTATAACTACAACGTGTACAGACCAGCCTAAAACATGTATTTAGGAAGGTTTGCATTTAGAGAGAGCCAATCAAATTGCAGCTTTTAATATTTAATCTGCAAACTTGTATAACAAACTTAAATACTGACTTCTGATTGGCTACGTACACTTAAGAAGGTTAGTATAATATAAAAAATCTTTTGAATGAATGTGCATTTGCAGAATATAGAACATACATTTAGCACTAATAATTTCATACAGCCAAGACAAAAACGTGCATTTAGAGAGGTATTGCATTTATAGAGGTTGCATTTAGGGAGGTTTGACTGTAGTAATATACAACTATAAGCTATAGTAAATAATTATATCTTAACTAAAATTAGAAACATCTCTAGTATTATTAAACAAAGATTTTTAAATAGTAACTAAAAATATATAGAGACAAGCTAGTGATCTTGTATAATATACAAAATTGCTAGTACTACTAGCATAGAAAATATAATATTAAGACCTAAAGTTCACAAACTAGCTATAGCAACAGGTTTCTAGTTTGAGATACAGATTAGTAGTATCTAAAAGAATAAGTAGAAGGCTTAACTATTAATAAAATATCAATTTTCTTATGTAAGAATCTAACTAAGCAGCAGAGTTCTGGTATAAAATATAAGCTGTAAGATAAACCTAGCTAGAAATAGTTACAAGATACTACTATAAAAAGTAAGTAGCTAAAATATTACGAAATCTCTATAATAGGCATATCAAATTAAAAGCTATATTAATAATGACTATTGAGAACCAATTTAGAAGTTGTTGAAGAGGCAGGTGAAACAAAGAAAAAATATATAGATTACCAAATAAGAAGAATCAAAAACAAAATCTAGATAAATATATATAATAAAGTGTATACTACTCTAATAAGTAATAGAGTACAGATAAAGTAGTTTAAGTTTTAATACAAATAAAAAATTGTAAATAAGTTGTAATAAACTAATAATAAAGAGTATCAGAGGTAATTTTCTGATCTTAACTAAAAAAAATAAATAAGTAATAGTATAAAGGCTATTATTAGAGTTTGAGTTTCATAGCTTACTTGATAAGTTTTTAATCTTACTATAGACAAGATTAATAGTTTGAGTTTGACTATAGATAATATATATTCTGCAATTATAAAAAAAATCATAAATCAGATATAAAATCTGTAATACAAGTCTAAGTGAATACAAGTTTAGATTAGAAATTTTTAGAAAAAGATTGATCTGTGAAATATAGATATCATAAATAGTAAGAAAAGTGATAAATATGTAAAAGATCTGTGAAAAAAGATTGGCCTTATTAAATATGAACATCTCTAGTACAAGAAACCCAAATTGAAAAAGTATAGTTGTAAAAACTATCTTCACTTTAGTAGAGGCTTAGTTACAGATAAAGTAGCCCAAAGTCCTAATACAAAGTTAGATTTGTGTTGCAAAAAAAATATTAAAAGTCAGAGGACTTAAATAGAAAACCCACAAATAAATTTTATGTATAGCAATTAGCAAGTAACTTGCAGACAGAATTTTTAAATAGATAATAACTAAAATTGTATATATAGCTAATTGTGGTCTTGCTAATACTATATTTACGTAAAATAATGCACAAGAGCATTATTTAGAATAATAGCCAAATTAAGTCTAATTTAGGCTAAAATTTGTAATTTCACTCTTGTATATTATTTCACATAAATATGGTATGCAAAATATAATACCTCTACATAAAAGTAGAATAATAATCTAATAAAAATGAGACATAGAGTTTCTTTTTTAAACAAAAAAAATAAATAAAGATTATTATTTAATAAATTTACTTAAGACTTATTAATTTTTTCTTAATTATAAGATAAATAGTATAAAATACTATTTATCATCTAGTAAAATTTTAGTGATTAAAATTATAAAATTAACTTTGCTAATAAGAGCTTTGTTTTATTATTATATAAACTAAAAATCATAATAAGAAAATATAAATGGGTTTGGGTTCTGTAGCTTATTGGTTAAGCTCTTAAACCTCTACAGACAAGGTTAACAGTTCAAGTCAGGCTAAAGGCAAATTGAATAATTTGTTTCTGTAATCTTTAGGGTCTATAATTGAATGCAAAACCTATAGCTAAATTTAAATACAAGTATAAAGCTAGAATAGGAATTTCCAGAAGGAAACCTAAATATAGAGTGTTGGCATTATATATAACTGCGATATTATAGAAAACTGTAGCTATAAAGATTGTACAAATAAGTCTTTAAAAGACAAAGCAGTACCAACATCTTTGTATCTTTAGATTTGATAATACCAACATCCCTACACCCAACTTATGAGGTACTTACTTGGAAGGGTAATCAATAGATTGTGCAAATAAGTTTTTATTTAAAAAAAAAGATATAGATACTTGCTTAAGAGAGTAATCATTATAATCAAAGTTGGAAGTAGTAAGAAAAGTAGTGAATATGTAGACAGTTTGTGATAAAAGATTAGCCTTACCAAAGTTAGAAGCATCTCTGGTAATGCAGAATGAAGATACTATAGAAGGCAAAAATTATAGAAGTTGTCTAATATTTTGTGTATATATAAAGGTACCGAATAGAGCTCTGGTTGCACCTATATAGAAGTCTATAACAAACAAGTCTAGAATCTACTAACTACTGAAGTTTATAATACAAATAGTAGTATAGCATTACTGGGGTCAACATAATTCCTAGTATTGTATATAATGATTTGGGCGAAATTATATTTCTATTTCCGAAATATTTCGGATTTTAACAAGTAGTCCGAAATAATAATCCTAAACTCCGAAATCAAGATGAAAGTCTGATATAAATCTGATAAAAATCCGATATTTCGATAAATCTAATATAAGTCCGATATCATATTTAAGGCAAATGCTAATAAGTTTTTTTACTATAACAAACTAACTATATTTGTAACAATATATGTATATTATAATTAAGTTTGCCACAATAAAAACTTTAATATTCGCTTACTAGTACGTATTAGAGAGTGCCATTAATAGATCGAAAAGAACTTTATTTAAGGTCGACTCCTCACTTTTATTAATCCTGTATTAATCTGGTACTTTTTTTTACTAATCTAATGATTTTTAGCTATTAAACAATGCATTTTTAAGAGTGTTCAATAATTTTATTTTCAATAATATAACAAAGTAACTATTTATGTTCAAATCTAATTACCTGTACACAATTATATATTTTTTTTATTAGTGTAACCAAACTTTTGAGATTTCTTTAATAAAAATTGATTCTGTGATTAAATCTTATAATTTATTATGCGCAAGAAACACATCTCTAGCATTTGTAAAATAAGTCTTATATTATACATGTATTTAATCAGTTAGGTAATGAGCAATAATGATCAATATTGAACGCCAAACTTTTATTAATCCTGATATTTATAAATTTGTTGGTTAGATGCAAGAAACCATTTACAAACTATATTAGTTTAACATTGCATTGATCTCTCTTTCAGAATCCCAATCCTCCTCATCATTTTCTATATTATTATCCCAAACAATAATATTTTCCTCATCAGGAAATTCAAAATTAGTATTAATGATTAATTCACCTAGATTATTTGTAAAAATAGTTGCATCAAGATTCAACAATTTCTCGATTTTTAATATTTTTTCTTTTAGCGGTATGAAAGTATCCTCTATTTTTTTATTAGTAGGTTCTTCATTCGCTGGTCTTTCTTCATTTTCCGGTTTTTCTTCATTTGCTGGTCTTTTTTTTTTTTTTTTTTT